TATGCCTTACTATACTATGTCGTTTTTTGACATTTTTATGCCTTATTATATATAGTATGACGTTTTTTTGACGTTTTTAAGCCTTACTATACTAAGCCTTATAATGCTATGAAATTTTATGATGTTTTTATGCCTTATTATACTATGAAGTTTTTTGACATTTTTANACTATGCCTTACAATGCAATGAAATTTTATGATGTTTTTATGCCTTACTATACTAAGCCTTATAATGCTATGAAATTTTATGATGTTTTTATGCCTTATTATACTATGAAGTTTTTTGACATTTTTAAACCTTACTATACTTTGACGTTTTTTTTTTACATTTTTATGCCTCACTTTAGTATGACGTATTTATGCCTTACTATACAATGCCTTAGTATAATAGGACGTTTTTTGACATTCTCATGCCTTATTATACTATGAATTTTTTGACATTTTTATGCCTTACTATACTATGCCGTTTTTTGACATTTTTATGCCTTATTATACTATGCCATTTTTTTGACATTTTTATGCCTTATTATACTATGCCTTACAATACTATGAAATTTTATGATGTATTTATGCCTTATTATACTATGAAGTTTTTTCACATTTTTATGCCTTACTATACTATGCCATTTTTTGACGTTTTTATGCCTTACTATACTATGCCGTTTTTTGACATTTTTATGCCTTACTATACTATGCCTTACAATGCAATGAAATTTTATGATGTATTTATGCCTTATTATACTATGAAGTTTTTTGACATTTTTATGCCTTACTATACTATGCCGTTTTTTGACGTTTTTATGCCTTACTATACTATGCCGTTTTTTGACGTTTTTATGCCTTACTATACTATGCCTTACAATGCTATGAAATTTTATGATGTATTTATGCCTTATTATACTATGCCGTTTTTTGACATTTTTATGCCTTATTATACTATGCCATTTTTTGACGTTTTTATGCCTTCCGATACTATGCCGTTTTTTTGACGTTTTTATGCCTTACTATACTATGCCTTACAATGCTATGAAATTTTATGATGTATTTATGCCTTATTATACTATGCCGTTTTTTTGACATTTTTATGCCTTATTATACTATGCCATTTTTTGACGTTTTTATGCCTTATTATATATAGTATGACGTTTTTTGATGTTTTTATGCCTTACTATACTATGCCATACTATAGTATGACGTTTTTTGACGTTTTTAAGCCTTACTATACTAGGCCTCATAATGCTATGAAATTTTATGATGTTTTTATGCCTTATTATACTATGAAATTTTTTGACATTTTTATGCCTTACTTTAGTATGACATATTTATGCCTTACTATACAATGCCTTAGTATACTAGGACGTTTTTTGACGTTTTTATGCCGTATTATACTATGAAGTTTTTTGATATTTTTATGCCTTACTATACTATGCCGTTTTTTGACGTTCCTATGCCTTAATATACTATTCTTTTTTTTGAAATTTGTATGCCTTAATATATATAGTATGCCGTTTTTTGACATTTTTATGCCTTATTATACTATGCCGTTCTTTTGACATTTTTATGCCTTATTATACTATGCCGTTTTTTGACGTTTTTATGCCTTACTATACTATGCCTTACTATACTATGCCGTTTCTTGACGTTTTTATGCCTTACTATACTATGACGTTTTTGGACGTTTTTATGCCTTACTATACTATGCCTTACTATAGTATGACGTTTTTTGACGCTTTTAAGCCTTACTATACTAAGCCTTATAATGCTATAAAATTTTATGATGTTTTTATGCCTTATTATACTATGAAGTTTTTTGACATTTTTATGCCTTACTATACTTTGACGTTTTTTTTTACATTTTCATGCCTTACTTCAGTATGACGTATTTATGCCTTACTATACAATGCCTTAGTATAATAGGACGTTCTTTGACGTTTTTATGCCTTATTATACTATAAAGTTTTTTGACATTTTTATGCCTTACTATACTTTGACGTTTTTTTTTACATTTTCATGCCTTACTTCAGTATGACGTATTTATGCCTTACTATACAATGCCTTAGTATAATAGGACGTTCTTTGACGTTTTTATGCCTTATTATACTATAAAGTTTTTTGACATTTTTATGCCTTACTATACCTTGACGTTTTTTTTTACATTTTTATTCCTTACTTTAGTATGACGTATTTATGCCTTACTATACAATGCCTTAGTACACTACGACCTTTTTTGATGTTTTTATGCCTTATTATACTATGCCGTTTTTTTGACATTTTTATGCCTTACTATACTATGCCTTACAATGCTATGAAATTTTATGATGTATTTTTGCCTTATTATACTATGAAGTTTTTTGACATTTTTATGTCTTACTATACTATGCCATTTTTTGACGTTCCTATGCCTTAATATACTATGCTGTTTTTTGAAATTTGTATGCCTTAAAATATATAGTATGCCGTTTTTTGACATTTTTATACTTTATTATACTATGCCGTTTTTTTTGACATTTTTATGCCTTACTATACTATGCCTTACAATGCTATGAAACTTTATGATGTATTCATGCCTTATTATACTATGAAGTTTTTTGACATTTTTATGCCTTATTATACTATGTCGTTTTTTTACGTTTTTATGCCTTACTTTACTATGCCTTACAATGATATGAAATTTTATGATGTATTTATGTCTTATTATACTATGACATTTTTTGACATTTTTAAGCCTTACTATACTATGCCTTACCATGCTATGAAATGTTATGATGTTTTTATGCCTTATTATACTATGACGTTTTTTGACATTTTTATGCCTTACTATACTATGACGTTTTTTGACACTTTAATGCATTACTATCCTATGACATTTTTAGTCTTACTATACTATGACATTTTTTTGTTACGTTTTTCCACCTTATCATACTGTGACGTTTTTGACGTTTTTATGCCTTACTATAGTGTGATTTTGCCTTACTATGACTACTATGATATAATTTTCCCAGACAATATATCAATATAATATAATATAATATGTTTTATTCTACTATGACTTTTTTTTTTAACGTTTTTATGCTTTACTATACCATAAAGTTTTTATGCCTCATTGTAATGTGAGGTTTTTCTGAAAGTTTTATGCATTACTATAAAATAATGTTTTTATGCCTTACTATACTATGATGTCTTTTGCCGTTTTTATGCCTTACTATACTATGATGTTTTATGTGTTCTTTTGCCTTACCATAATATAACATTTTTATGCCTTTCTATACTATGACTTTTCATGTTTTATTACAATGAGGGTTTACTTATGGGATGGCAAGGTGGAATAGTGGTTAGAACTGTTACCTCACAATGAGAAGGTTCTCGGTCTGAACCTTGTACCTGGGGCATTTCTGTGTGGAGTTTCCATGTTCTTCCTGTGCCAATGTTGGTCCTCTCCAGTGGTACTTTAGCTTTGTCCCGCAGTCCAAAGATATGCGCATTCGATTAATTGGCGACTTTAATCCCCTGCAACACTATGACCTTTAATTATACAATTACTTTTTTATGCCTTTTGATGGGTCTACACGGTGATGCAGTGAGAAAGTTCTGGGTTCGAATCTTTTTATAAGCTTTTCTATAGTATGACCTTTTAACTTTTTTATGCCTAACTATACTGTGACTTTTAATGCCTTACAATACTACGATTAATGATGTATAACATATATGTCCCTGTATCAAAAGTGATGTTAACATATCTTTCACCAATAAAAGGATATATTATAATTGCATATTCACATCCTCTGGATATATGAAGATATAACTTTATAATGTATATAAAATAGTAATAATAAAATCCAACTTCATTAAAATAACATATAAACATATAACATGTAAATATTATATTATCTGTTTATGGTTTAATTAATCATTTTTTATTTATTTTTGTAATATGAACATATACTGACAAGCTTTGGGTTGTTTATGTAACGTCTATAATATAAACACATACTAAAATACATGTTTCTATTAGCTAGACATATATGTATGTCAATATATGATATTGTTCCAATTTCTAAAAGGTTTCGTATGTAGTTTTTGCATATATAGGCTATACTTTATATACATATATGATTTTACTTCATATGGACATACGTTTCACATAGAAATATAAAACGTGGTGTTTGAGGGAAATCTCCTAGCTTCACCGAAGTGTCTTTTTGTACAAAATTAAACCTTGCAGCAAAGCTCTTTAAACACATAGGAGCTGCTTAATGATATAGTAATGTCTTTTAATATGGATGTAGATTACATTTTTGCTTGACCTTATATTGACATGAATAAGTATCAACTGCTGCTGATCTCCCCAGAAGCATTAATTTGAACCATCCTTAGTTCAATGTACTCACCGCTTTAGCAAATTGAGTCAACTTTAAAATGGCCTTCAGCTTTATGAAGAAAACATCCTCACCAATCTTTAGTTTACTCTTTCTTAACCAAAGCAAGCATAAAAAATCACCACAAAATGAAAAAGTGAATATTTTAAATGTGTTAATGGCTTCAGGTTTGAGTGAAGAGTGAAGGCTTCACTGAGTCAGGTTGGTGCCATCTAGAGGTTTATTTAAGTCCTCATCTAGAACAATACAATACTGCTACACTGAACACTGTGTGAACACATGTAAAAACATTGCTGTGGTCTTATGAGGTAAAATGATACAAATACAATGTAAAATAGACTTATTTAACTGACATACTAATATCTCTCACTGAACATACAAACTGATTCACAACAGAAACACACACACATCACAGTTTCTCAAGGTAGAATGTTTTCATGCAAATCCATACTTATCATTAGTTAAAAATACTTGTCATAAAGCATATATCTGTCAGTTGTTGCATTGCTCGATTCACCAGCTACTTTACCGGCCCACAGGAAATCAGGCTGGCACAAACAAAAGTTTGACATTTTCCTAATCTAAAACTTCAGATAAATTCTGTGTTTTACCAAATATAGCAGCTTCTTTTGTTTTTCATGTATTTGCGAGTGTTTTTATTTTCTGAACAGCACAAGTGGTTCAGAAAATGAATGAAGGGATGCACAAGAAGGAGCTGAGGTGGTGGTGTACTTTCACTAATATGAATAGTTAAAATAACTTTGGTTTGTCAGCAATGTAGCGCTTGTTTGAATATGATGATAGAGTACATCCCAAAGACTCTTCCTCTGAAAGTATAATTCTGTCTGACTGTCCTCCCTTCACTTTGCCATCTTTCTCCGGCAGGTTCTTGCTTGTACACTCTCAGAGGTTCAAAATGTTGTCCTTTCACAAACAACTACCCTCCCACAGCTGTGCTCACACCCCTGTATCTTGCTCCTCTTCTTCCTCCTCCTGCTGGGGCAGGAGCCGATAGTGTTCATTGCCGATTGGCAGAAAGGCAGTCCTGGGACGAGCCTCGTCTTCTTCAGAGGGGACTCGGTGGCGGGAGTTGGAATCCAGCTGCTCAGTGGAGTTACACTTAGTGTACAACTCGCGGTGCACCTCCGGACTGCCTCCCTCTTCAGAGCCACTGTTACGGACCATGCGGTTTTTCAACGTGGAATGGATGTAGCCAACAGGCACAGGTAAGGTAGCAAAGACTATGAGCATAACAATCATAGCCAGGGCCCAGCCAGGGTACTCAAGGGTCATCTCAGAAGCCTGAAGAGATGAAGAGACAGAACATATCAGAGAGAGGCATTGGCAGGCACAGCAATGCTCAAGATTCTTTTCACAGTGCAAATAGTTTTAGCACTTCAACAGCTATTTTGTTAGAGACCATGAAAAACTTGCAAAGATTACCTTTTACTTTTAGATTAATGATTCCTTTGTGGACAGCTATAATAGCATATTCATAAATAACCAAAACCAAAGATGGTTAAGAATTCTGTAAATCATAATCAAGACTTTTAACAAACAAAAAAAAATCACATTATCCACAGACACTAAAAGTACTGTTCTAAAAGTTCTGTATTTCAAACTATTCAGATAACTGGTTACAGTTGGGAGAATAAATACACGGAAAAGTATCATGGTGAAACTGCCACATATGTCATAAACTATAACAAGTTATTTTGACTTTAAATTCTTCTGTGTTGGACAAAAAGCCACTATCTAATATCTTACTGTGTTTTGATTCCAGGCGGTGTATGTGGGCCCTTTGAGGACCATGCGCAGCAAACTGGCAGCCAGAAGACTAACCATCGCCAGTAAGCAAACATATTTCCAAAGATATTTGTACACCACTGGGGGGCGCCATTTGAGCATGACTTCAATATCATCTAGGAAGCTGCAGGGGAGGAAAATAGTAATATTAGAATCATATTTTTCAATATCAGAAATAAAAATGATGAAAACAGGGCAGACAAAAATAATTTAAGGGTGACATCTGTCAGAGATATTGTTTCTTACCGATCAGTTCCATAAACCCACGCCACACTGAAGGTTTCAAAAATGACTACGATGATTAATGGGAGGGTTGCTGAGTAGTCATCAAACATAGTCACAAAGTAGTTACCAGAGCGCTGGGTAAACAATAGTCCTATCAAGAACCCTAAAGCACAGCTGGACACTGAAAAACAAATGGGAATATAGACAGTGTTAGAAAATAATAAAGGTACTGATCAAACAAAGCATATTACATTCATCTGATATAATATACTGTACTATCAGAAACAGACAGAGCCGTGTTCTTCATTTCTGTCATTCTGGTGTTTAACTCAAGACTGAATATCATCCATTTTTTAGATATTTTTAAGTATAATCAAGAGCAGGCAATGTCCAGTATTAACTTGTTTGAACATGTATTAACTTGTGTGTACAGTATTACCAGTGAGTATAGTGCGGTGGCGCCCCAAGAGGCTAAAATTGTCCATAAGAGGTGTGAGGATCCCCTGCATGGTCCCAAACATGGTGCTGAGGCCCAGGTTGAGCAGCATTAGGAAAAACAGTGTGGACCAGAAGGGGCTGGCTGGGAAGAGGGCCATCACCTCAGTGAATGCTATGAACGCCAGGCCTGTCCCTTCAACACCCTGCACTCACACAGGGAAAAAATAGTGACAATATGTCTAAAAAAAGAATCAGAGAAATATTGAGTGATGATTGCAAACAAGTATTTTAGTGGCTCCATGCGCACGAAAAGAGACAGTGAAAGTATTTGACTTGGGATTGGTATTGCCAGCTATATTCAATGCAATTACATCACCTGACTATGTAAATTACATAAAAGTTTTTGTACCCCTAACTGCTGCAAAAAAATGCTTGTCAGTACAAACTGTGCTCCTCCTATGGCTTTGATTTTGAGAATATATAATTTTGTGATAAAATAAACCCTGTGAGATAGCATTACTTTAGTACCTCTTCCTCTGTTTCTTTAGTTTCTCCTTTCACTCCTCTATCACAGCTTGCTTCCATCTCTCCTGTGGACCTACTAGATACAGTGTCCCATATGTTTTCTTCCTCTTGCCTGCTGGATATTTTACAGCACCTCACATATTCCTTGGGGGTCCTAGGAGATTCAGAGCTCCACCTACATGCTATGTTGTTGAAATGTTCACCTCTGGTTGAGTCCCTGATTTTTCCTCTCTTTTTTTTTAAGCAAGCCGGTGTCTGGCACCTCAAAAAGCAACTCTTCGATGTCTCTCTTCCTACAACATAGATTAATAGAGGACATATATAATGGATTTGATTAGTGTCTGTGTCTCCACATCTGCTATAGACATGTGGAGTACTCTGGCTCCCTTACTACATCACTGATTTAGTGCATCCACACTTTTCAACAGAGCCACAAGAATCTGTTAAACGTCCCTCACCTTATTCATCTCCTCCTCCAGACTGCAGTCAGTGATGTTAGGCCCAACTATGGAGCTGTAGTGACTGTACCACTCTCTGTATTCACCTAAAGACACAGAGCTTGGATCAGTGATGTTGAACCAAGGCCACCAGTGCTGGTTAGATCCATGGGATGTCATGGAGCTTAGCAGACCAAGATTTCTGGAAAAGGTAAAAATAAGAAAATACAAAATGAAAAAGACAATATTTTCCAAAAGCCACTCCTTGAGTCCAATGTTGTATTTCATCAGTCTTGATATCCAGTGCATGCATGTGTTATAATTTGCTTTTCATATTCTCCTGCAAATTGGATAGCTATGTGAAACCAGGGGGCATTTTTCTGGCACTCTGGTAAAATAAGTTACTTTGAGAATAACTTAGAGAATTCTGTCTGTTTTAGTATGTTGCATTCATACAGATCAAACTGACAGGCTTATGTAAATGTAGTTCTACAAAATGTGTTGCTAATAATGGACAATGGGTAGTTAAAATGAATGCACACACACACACACACACACACACACACATATTCGTACTTAGCCACGCAGCGTAGTGCAATGTTCTTGGCACGGAAACCCAGCACTACAAAAACTACCAGCGAGGCCAGCACAGACGTCATGAAGTTGATGCCAGAGACCATCAGCGCGTCCCTGTGGCAGTTGTTGTGGACTGGATTGTAGGAGGAATATGCGATAACAGAGCCATAGCCCAGACCGAGGGCAAAAAAGACTTGCGTGGCAGCCTGTCGCCACACCTGCACATTACCCCAAATTTCCAGCTGCAAAATGCCACAAAACAAAGTCTCATTAAGTCTAAATTATTATAAAGGTGCAAAAGTGTTTAATATGCTCTAAAACTAATATTTTTCATTTGAAATTCATTTAGTTAGAAATTAAAAAACAAAATCTAAACAACATGAATATGATGAAACACATAATAAAACCTGTGCTTACTCTAGGATAAAACATATAGGTGATTCCTTCCATTGCACCGTCCAACATCGACCCTCTGATGAGGAAAATAAAGAGCACCACATAGGGAAAGACTGAGGAAAAGTACATCACCTAAGATTTGGAAAAAGAAGTGGAGGATGATTTCTGTGCCAGAACATGTGAAAGGAGTAGTTTGACATTTTCGTGTGTGTTGATGATGAAAAGATTGATACCACCACGTCTGTCAATTACATATGAAGTTACCGCCAGCAGCTGGTTAGCTTAGCTTAGCACAAAGACTGGAACAGGGGGAAACAGATTGAAAGGCGTCATAGAAGGCCATGGAAAGGTGATAAAATCTGCCTACTGGCACTTCTAAAGCTCAACAATTAACAAGTTATATGCGTTTCTGGCCTTTGTGGTAGAGTAAGCTTACTAGCTGCTAGCTGTAGCCTTATCTTTAACATATTTACCAGACATTTTGTGTGGAAGTCTCTGTCTGATAGTAAACAGGTGTGCTGTGTCATCTTATTCTTGTAATGGTGATACAAGCATCAGTGTGTGCTTGTGTGCAGGAGTATTGGTTGTTGATATGCAGGGCTACCTGTGATGAAAACTACAAGAGATGTTAACTTACCTTTGCAGAAGACTTGATGCCCTTGATCATAGCCAATGAGACAATTGCCCAAGCGGCCAATAAACAGCCCGTCATGATGGGGTTAAACTCTCCGGATTCTTCGATGGAATTCGTGATGTTTAACGCTTTCCGAAACCAGAAATATGACGTCGGGGAGCTACTTGCACATTCCCTCACTGTAGATTAAGGACAGACAACACTAGTTACCTTTGACTGGCATATACTGTACGTGACCCCTCATTTTGTAGTGTAGTTATGTGAGTACCTGTGTTATTAGTAGTTACATCGATTGGACACTGCTCCCATGGCAGAGGATACTGGAAAGAATTACCCATGTAGAACAGGCTCCATGCAATGATAACATTGTAGTAAAGACCCACGTAAAAACAGACCTAGAGGAGAAGAAAGGGTTTATGAATGATTTACTTTATGTATTATCATTATTTACATAGTGAGTTCTAGATAGGACACAGCATGTGCTGACTTGTATATTGTACATTCTGTGAAAAGTTCTTTCAAGGTCAAAAATCTGTTTTGCAAGTGGAGAACAGCAAACCTCAAATGACCTAAGATAGGAGTTAGCCTTGATGTAATGTCTTTATATACAAGTTATGAAGTTATTATCAACCTGCTCAATCTTGTATGGGGAAATGTATGCTTAAAGTGTAAGAATAATTTTTGACACTGACATTGACTGGGACTAACAGAGCAATGAGACTTTTTGGAAAATAAACAAGTCTGAAAAAAAAGCATGGGCGTCTAAGTGTACAAGTATATGTCTGTGTGCTGTACATACACAGAAAGTTCTTGTCTACTCTGTTTGCCTTCTCTCGTCTGTATAGAAACTGTTATGTAACAAACTGCCAGCGCCACAGCACACTGCCTCTCTCACATTACAGTGCTGCAAGATGTCATCATCGTTCCTTTCTTGACTATACACACAGTGTGGCTGGTAATAAAAAGAAAGTTGTTGTTAAGTTGTTGACAGAAAGGTGATAAAAAGGAGAACATGCTTTGGTTTTTGATGAGGAAAGTGGAGGAAGACATTCATTCTTATGAATATTTTCATATTAAAAATACTGATGGTTGCCGTATCTTTAAAACCCAATCATGAAAAATCCACCACAGCAGCCTAGCTGAGTAATTATTTTACTGACGTGTGAACACCAATTTTTCATAGTTATGGTGCCTTGTAGAAGAATACATTATATTGCTTCCCCATATTTGCTATAATTTGACACAGCTAACAAATAATAAAAAGTATAACTTGATAGACAGATATGTACCGTTCGATTTCAAACACAGGCAAAAGAAAACTGAAAATACACACAAAAAAATCAAAATCCTCACCATGCAGCTGGAGTAGCCAATCCCTGCCAGTTTTGGGGAGATGTGTTTCCACACACCGATGCTCCCCTGGCGAATGCTCTGGCCAGCTGCCAGCTCCATAAAAAACAGTGGAACTCCCACAATCAGTAGAAGAAAAACATACAGCAGCATGAAGGCCCCTGGAAGGAGGGAAGATTAAAATAAATAAAAGGCCATGTATAAAGTTACCTAACTTACTCACGTTGTACATCCTTTCATGGTTTCTTTTCTACTTTTCTGTGTCTGTTCTGCAGCATGTCCCATTTTTATTTCCCCTTTTCTTTTGAACATATGAACATTTTCCTTATTATTTGTTGTGTTGTCATATGTTTGCATCTGTTTTAAAATGCCCCATTAAAAAAAGGTATAAAGTTCCTCCTGGTGTCAAGAGAGCTACTATGATAATCAGTCTGAGTTGAATAATTTACATTTCTTTCTTAAAAGACACTCACCTCCTCCATTTTGGTGGCAAAGATATGGGAACCTCCATACATTCCCTAAGCCCACACTGAACCCCACCTGGGCCAACACATACTGGATCTTAGAGTCCCATGCTGGCCGGTCTCCATCGTTTGTCTCAACTCCATCGGGAACACTTGCAAGCTGAGTTTCAGACTGACCCTCACCCAGCCAGGCCCTGTCCTCGTTGCTGTCTAGTGAAGGCTTTTCAGTCTTGTCATAAACACAGAAGGAGAAGAAAAAGAAGAAAAAGAAGAAGAATAACTTAAGTAAAACCCTCTTGAAAATCAGTTGATATTAGATTTCTTATTAAATTGAATAGTCTAGACAAAATTAAATATGTTACTCTTTATTTTTGCAAATGGAAAATAGATGTGGAAAGGCAAAATATTCCAGACACCTGCAAAAGAAAACTTGTGTTTTTCCCGTTTATTTGTGTTTCATATTCCAGCAGATACCCACCGTGTCCAACTTATCATTTATCAGGGATCACAGTAGTCTGTAACAATATGCAATGTCTATGACGTCTGAGGGGACAGGCTAAAGACCACTGACAGTCACGAGGAGGGAAGAAGAAGTGGGGACACTCTTATGTTTTGTTGTTATAGTGTCACCTGTGTGCTAAACTCGGGCCCTTAAATCCCTCACCTGCCATGTGAAAACAAGACCGTGAGACATATGTGCTGTAACTAGGGCTGCTTTCCAATTTTTTAAATAAACAAAAGGAAAATACGCTCCATGTGGGAAAAAATGAGACTCTCAGATCATTTCTGTGCCGTGTACAGAACAGAACAGAACTCAATATTTTAGTTTAAAGTTATGAGCTTAAGATTTTCAAAAATCAAACCCTAATTCTGATATTTATGGGCGATATTTTTTTTTTAGGTATTGCCATTCATTGTATCTACATTCTGCAATTACATTTCTATGGGTGAAGTCTGTGTGAAGTCACTGCTAATACAAACCCAACATTTCCTGTTGCTGCTTCACATTAAAATCATTCACTTGGTATATTTGTCACTGAGGTTAGCAGCAATAAAAATGTGCTGTTTGATAGGATGCACACTATTATAAGTCTACACTGTCAAGGAGTGTATCATTAGCCAGTTGTCTATTGTGGTTTGTTATGTGGAAATGATCCAAATGAAAAAGTTGATTAGATTGTCTGAATTCTCTGAAGTTTATCTTTAAAAATGCATAAATAACGCCAATGTTAGGTGGCACTTTTTAGAAATAATAGTCAAAGATCAGAGGACTGTACTCAAACAACATGCTCTTGCTAACCAACTTAGCAAAGATGAGTGGACCAGATCCAAAATGGCTTAGCATGAGCAAAACTGGCTTTAGGACATGACCCAGCTGGATTATTTCTCTGTGGCTCTGCTGGTATCAGCTGGTGAGAATGGAAAATTACAAGAGGTGTATGACCCAGAAAAGTACGTGGCTGGTCAAGACACATGGCCAGATAGGACAGGTGATTTCAGAAATATGTGGACACACATAGTCACATACACAGAGAAGTGTAGAGCGTGACAAAAATATTCATGCGTACACAAATAGAGAGGAGGGGAAGTGGGAAGAGCAGTAGCTACATAGGCAGATGTGAGGGTGAGGGTCTTTGGTGACGTGTTGGTGGGAGTGAGAAGGAGAACCCACTGGGAGGTGTTGGGTTTACATTGGTTCACAATGTGGGTGGTGCTGAGGTGCTAGGCTTGACCACGGAGCGAATATAGTTGGTAACAGGGCAGGAGAAAGCTATAAGGCTTTATTTCAACATTTTGAAGACGACCAAAACAGGCTTTTGTTGCAGTAGTAGCTGAAATAATTAGTTGATAAGTCAGTCACTGGTAGAAATGTATCAACAACAACTTTGATAACCAAGTAATTGCACGGGTTATTTAAAAAGCAAATAAACCACAGATTCACTCAGTCCAAGCTTCTCAAACATGAGGCCTTTGTCTGTTTCATATCACTGAACTGTTGCTCAGGCATTACAAGACCTTTGCAAATAGGGCTGAACGATATTCCAAAAAAATCATACTGCGATTATTTTGACAGATATTGCAATTGTGATATGAGAGACAACTTAAATGGGAATTGTTAATTTTTTAATTATATTTTCACTGAAAACTGGACTACACTATAACACATTAATTGGTCAATAATAGTTAGTTGTTAGATTGTTATGATCCTAGTTACCTCCAGATTCAGGTAACCTTCTGAGTCACTAAGGTTTCGTGAACTTGATTCAATATTAGGAATTGATAGAGTCTGGCTGTTAGCGCTGTGAGTATAGCCTTGGTGGCATTTGGTTTCCTTTTCAAAGAAAAACAAGATGCACTTCAAAATGACAGAGAACCAACCTAAGCATAAAATTCTGTCCTTGAAACAGGCCTGTGCATAAATGCAGATACAGTTCAAATTGTCCTCAGATTTACAGGTGTGGATATTTCACTGCGTCCTCCATTGTGAAACAATACAGTAAGTCTGTAACAGCACTTTGCTGAGAAAAGATCATTTCTGCAATAAACCAATTTGCACACAATTGCAATCTGTTGTAAAGTGAGAGGCTGTTGTGCTTCCTCTTCTTCAAGGGTCAAACTGTAAGAAGGACTTGAATATGCTTTTAACTTTTAAAACATCTTAAAAACTAGTGGAAAAATCCTGCATGCTTATTCCTCACTTCTGGGCCTTGCTACAGCCTTTTTCAAAAGAACTACTGTGTTTTTTTCTTTCCTTCTATTTTTCTATACTTGGATAACCTTAAATTATCTTCTTGCCCCACAGCCCCTTTCCCGCAGCACACGCACACACACAGACAGGCACAAAGCACACACACACAGCGGCTGTGAATTTTTGCCTATTGGTCAGTCAGGGTCTGTCTCTGGGGATAGTTGAAAAACAGGCAACCGCATTTCTTCAGTGAACAGTAATGGTAAGTGCACAAAAGCATGAAGCAATGGTCAAACCTGCCTACTAATCTCTAAAAATACCTTTTTTTACTTTTATTAAACTGAAATGTTTTCAGAAATAGGCTGGGACTTTTTAAAAAGCGCTTTGTGAAAATCACATCGCCAATACTGCTAAACTGCTGAGTTGTATTGGATTACATTACAATGTAGAGATTAAAGAAATCTGAGATCCATGAACACAGGTTCCTCATCCCTCATTCAGATTTTCTGTGCAGAAAAAATAGCCTTAATTATCCTTTATCTACATGGACAGTTACTGTTGCATAAATTGTGTATTATACGCATTACTGAGCAAGTTTAACTGTTGGACAGTGGGATATGCCCTGTTTGTGTCCTTTTTCTCAATCATTTTCCTAAAATGCATATAATTCATTCTAAAGTGTCCATTACAGCAACAGAGGGTATTGAACAGAAACGGGCATAAAGTGGGAATAAATTATTGTCACATATAACTTTATTTTGTATGTCTGCATATTATGTAGATTACTGTCTCAAATAGCATGTGTATTGTATGTGTTTTAGTTTACACACCAACCCTCCACAAATGGCCAGAATAAAGCTCCTTTCTCACATGCAATTTTACATGTCGACATCATGTTTGAAAAGGAGCCAGAGTCATTTTTCTTGTAAATGTCTCTTTGGCAATCTGCCAACTCAGGACCTAGCAACATTTCTGTAACACTCCCTTCTTGAATGAAGAGTAAATTAAACATTCCCACTCATCAGGCCACCAGCTAACTTGCCACACTTTTTCAACTTTCATTCGAGCCAGCTGCTGCAGGATGAAGATCAGATAGCGAAACTGGCATGTGAGTGAAACAGGAATGAAACAAGAGCCAAAACCTAACTGTAATGTCTTTATAATGTGTCAGAGTTTAAAATGAGTGGCTCACAAGATCCGTTGCAGTGCAAAAAAATCACACAAATGACAGTGTGTCAACACGTTTGACCACAAAGCATAGGAGAATAATATTGTGCATAAAGAAACAGAGTAACAAGGAAGCCACTGCCCTAAGAAGCTGCAAAAAAAAAAAAAAAAAACATTTAATACTGTTCCCCCAGCAAACACACAACCCACAGTGGGCTATTGCATAACTTGAGTTGCTGTCAATCAGACTAATTTTCCCTCCTTCAGTATAGCCTAAACCTAAAGGAGCCTGAAGGATAAAAATACCTCTACATACAGTATGTTATACTATGCATATAATACAAAAACAAAGATGTGTGTGTGATTCATTAAAATGTATTTTGGAAAACTTACAGTCTGTAAGTTTGTGGACAGCTGCACATTACTGTGCTGGTTCTGTACTCCATCATAATAGATTTAAATGATTATGAGGTTTAAGTGTTGGGTTTTAGCTTTAATGTGAAGGTGTTTACATAACAATTAGATCAATGTGCTACTAAATGGAAAAATTACCATATAATATTTGACTGCAGTTTGGTTTATGCTGCTGTACAGCAGAGTATATAGTGCATCCATATTTCAAATGAATGTTACAATAGCCTTTATGTACAGATATATTTTGACAGTTGTGGGTTGTGGGAAGATATCTGTCACTGAACATGTTGAGCAGCATGTGAACACAATGCACAGAAAATCAGCCGCACAGGGGAGATTAGCATAAGTCATGCAAAGCACATCCCTTTAAAGCCTATTCACGACGGGTTAAGCAACTGACAAAGGAGTCTAGTTGTTAACGGTAACTTATACAACAGATAAGCTCAAAACTTCCCACGAGAAAAAAAAAACAACAACACAGGAAAAACAATCAAAAGCAAGAAGCGAACAGTAAGATCAGATATTAGTGCTCACATCGTTAATAAAGTGTGAAAGCAGAACTGTGAGTCTGTGTTGTGGACATACCATGCTGACAGCACGGTCCAAGAGAGGAGTAGAGTTTCCAGTAGCCCTGGTGTTGGTTTCTGTGCTGTTAGTAGCCTTTCACACAAGGCTACTTTTGCTCTTCCTTTTATGGTTTTGATAATAGTCTGACAAACAAATCTGATTTGCTGAGGGGAGAAAAGTCTCGACCAGGTAGTTTTGACAACTCGCGGCCACGTTTCTGGTGTTAGAACAGACTGTGTCGTCGCCAACCCAAGAAGAAACGAAGGAGAAGTTACTGCAGCTGCAACCAATGGGGAAAGTTAGGGGGCTGAACTGCCCTTCCCCAAAACGGTCAGTGGGCCTGGACAACCCGACACACACTGCTGGATGTCAGTGAGTGTGTGTGTGTGTGTGTGTGTGTGTGTGTGTGTGTGTGTATGTGCGTGTGTGTTTGTCCTACAGGCTTTGGGAAAACCCTAAAGAAGATATGTTATGCTTACGCAGCGACTGTGATCTTTCTGTGCTGTTGTTTTAGGTAGCCTCCAATTCAATATATATAAAGTCACTCATCGATCACAACTTAACTGCGCGTGTATTCGTGTATTTAGGGTACAGGCGCTGACTGCACCCAGAAAGGTGCAGATAAATTCAGCCATCTACAAAATAAAACTGCGCTCACAATTACCTCAGCAGCTCAAGCAGTCTGCGCTTTGACTGGAATGATTGTTGTTACATATACATAAATGTAAACACAGCAAACTCACAAAAATAAGACAATGCAAGAATCGCGAAGAGAGAGAGAGAGAGAGAGAGAGAGAGAGAGAGTAGCTGTCAATGTAGTGGAATAAGGGGGGGGTGCATAACCATGTCATATTTCTCATTGCACAGCCCATTCATGTATTTTCATAACAGATCCTGAAAGAGTCATCCTGAAAAAAACTAAAGGAAAAGTCTGAACTCATGCCCATAATGGACATGAACATTATCAGGCAACTAAACAGCACTGCCTTAAAACACCTACATGTAAGGGACCTGACTAGTAACTGTCCATGATGCTTATTGTGTCTGAGTGTAGGCACCACGCAGCACATCATCAGTGGGGCTGTATATAATGTAAATACAAGCGCATAATACATTTAAACAACGTGACATCAATATAATACCAGACCTAATACCCAAACAGCTGATTTCCACATGGGAGAGAGAGAGGGGTGTGGTGGGGGTCCCATTGCAGTATAGACAGTTGGTTTTAAGTCATTGACTTCGTATCAACAAAAATGTATATCGTAAAAAGTTCTCCTGGCTCAGGAAAGATTCCTGGAGGTAAATAATGGGGCATGATACTGGCATTAAAAGCAAACTGCTGTTACCACACAGTTGAGCAATACCAGTTAGTAGTAAATTCACTGTCTCGGCCACCTGTCGGCTCAATATTAGAAAAGGCCCTACCCCCTCTAGTGGAGAGAATGTGCCAAAAAATGACCCAAAATATCTGCTGCTGTTCACACCAAAGTATGAATTCAGAAAGCTACTGTTTGCATGTATTTAAGCTTGTGTCTCCCGGCTCCTGTTGCAGACCAGATTTTTCACAGTCACCATTCGAGAGCATTTAAAGTGACAGGGGAAATTCCTGATCATTTTCAAAAATTCATACAACACTTCATACAACACTCTGGACACTTGGAGAGATATAACCAAGTTTCACCATCTACAGCTTGGTGATATAAGCAACCTTTGATGAGTAAAATGTTTTAACTGCTAATTCAAAAGGGAACTTTTATACCAGAGGCAAAAAGTGCAGGAATAAGGGTGTCCCCTGTTTCCAGCCTGCACCCTTGCTATTGGGCTGTAGATCATAAATGTCCTTCTATAAGTCACACACCGGAAATGAATACATTGCTGAGAACAGCACAGTAAATCCCGAGCTAATTATGGAGATCAACTGAAAAGCTCTTTGGCAGAGATGAGACCTTTTGGAGCTCAGTGTCATGTGCATCATGTAGTACAACAGTAGTGAATAAAAAACTATTAGATTAATTTAAGTATGGAAAAACCACTTGACTAATTTTGCCAAGAAGCTATTTGCTAGTCAGGCTTCGATTCAATGCCATGTAAATGCATCTGCAGAGAAAAGTTTCTGCCCATATTGTTCTATAGTCAGCACCCACTGGATCGTCTTAACAGCAGAGCAGCTGACCCAGAAATCGTGTGGCAGCCAGGACGCTCAGGTGTTTCTCTGCTACACTTCTCTACACCATCAACCATTTGATTTTCAGTATATGAACAGCAGCTATTTAAAGTTTTCTGTGCTACAATGGAGTCAAACATGAGGAGAGCTGAAGGGACGGATGAAGTCTGATCTATAATGACCAGTTGGTGTCACTGTTCATCAACAGCTCAGTTTTCCCCAATGCCATGTGCCACCTGCTCAACAGGAGTATCTTACCTACAGCAGAACTAATGTTGCCAGTGGCTAAAATCTTAATGAAGACACAATTTTAACTTAAATGTTCAGTTATCAGTGCCTTTCAGTTTGCCCACTGCTAAACTGATTCATTTGAAAGAAACAAAAGTCTGACCGTGACCCTTGACGGACCATTTCTCTGTATGAACAGACACATATGCTATTATCTGTGTTTTCTTGTTTGCTAATTAATTCGATAACCATCTGTCATACTGCTGAAGATTGCACAAGCCAGTAAGCTTTTCCATATTGGGAACCAGATATTAAATGTTTAACCCACATCCTTTTCCACACCTTCTCTCATATCATTTTAACAAACAGTAGTTTTAACAACAGTCTTTCTGATTGTTGTCACGAACATTGTCACTCTTACTCAATCAATAATTGCTTTGTATTGAAGTATTTAAAAAAGTTAGCACTGCCCTCTGATTTTGCACTTTCCTAACTAAGCAAATTTTATAATCTTGATAAATTATACCATTGATTTCATTTTATGCAGTTTAACCACCACATTGTTCCCTAACCCTGTTATTTACTTTGAACCAGGAAATAGCCTGTCTGTCATCCACTTCACTTTATTTGACAGATTCTAAATTGATTTTAAATTGAGATAAATTATTTATTCTGATTTCTTGAGAGAACAATGAGAGCATGTTAAATGGCAGCAATTAGACAACTATAAAAAAGTGGGTTATACATTATGAAATTATTTTATCATTGAATATGATTAGTTGGTGGTTGTATAGTCACAAAGAGAAGTCCTCATAGGAGGGAATGTTTAAATCAAATTAGTTTTGCCGACCTTACTAATACCATTTCTCCTCCAAAGAATGAATTGCATTCAAATGTTTCATTTCTTTTTATTAGTTTTTGTTCTTAATTTAAACATTAAATCACCTTTTCCCCTCTTTCTCTCAAATGAAACTTGACATGACTGAATTCGTGGAGGTGGGGAGCTTGAGGAAGACTGCATTACATTTCTGGAAGGGCATGTGTCACAGATCACGTTAGCCCTTTGGCACAAGCCACAGGTGGTTGCTGGTAGAAATGCCTGTCGTAAGGAAGGAGAGGCTCAGAGAGATGCAGAGAGAAGAATGGGAGGGAGTGTGTGTGTGAGAGAGAGAGAGACAGAGGAGAGTGAAAGCAACACAGATTAACTGCGAAAGGAAAGCCAGACTTGTTTTTCTCGTTTCTGCATATCTCTAGAAGGTGGGACGTGCTCGTTTAAACAGCTAAGCTCAGTGCACATACAGTGCAGCACGGGGATTGGTTTCTGCGCCTTGGATTTAAACGCTCAAACCACACTAAAAAGGTACGGTGATGAATCTAGATTTCAGGTATTAAACTGTGTGTATGTGTGTGTGTGAGAGAGAGACAAACAGGTACAACTGTCATGTGACGGACAGCTGCTTTGTGTCAGTAATATGTGACTTTTGGAATAGCTTTACTTCATCTTGACACATTAGAACATTTAGTGATTTGTAATTGTATTAGGGGCTTTGATTGTGCATTTTATAAGAATTTGTGAAGCTTGAAAAAGTTTATGCAGTACTGATGTTGGAAGAGAAGACATTACAGGCGGAAAAATGGCAGGAAGATGAGGAAAAGAACTACAGTGTGTTTGCATAGCAAACAATTTTAAATTCAGCTCAAATAGTTTCGCTATCAAGTTTTGGTGGTTGTGTCATCTGCATACCATGCACCTGGTGACAGTGGTTTTTCCTGTCATATGCATCCATCACTGAAATGCACACAGACTTGCAAGTGCACACAAAATACTTAGCATTCTTACAACCAGCCTGTGGAATGTGTCACTACTGAACTCTCATTCATAACTTTTTAGGTGAAGTTGAGAGTTTTTATCAGTCAGGTAAAGCTGATCAAAATCTTTTACATTTCATGAATATGACAATGGATATGTAGATGAAACCATATGTACATGACAATTCAAGAATGCAGGGCATGATTCACATAAAGTGGTCATGAGATAATGTATTGATAATTATAGAGGGCTGAATTCCCCAGGAAAAAGAAATTCTGCATCATTAAACTGAGACAAACGTTGAAATTAAGAAAAACATAAATGTTATTCCTTGTTGTATAACAGTTTGATTTGCATCCACACACAACAGATGTCTGCCCCACCTCCTCCGGTGGTCCCTAGAAAGCCTCCAGGTGTCCGTGTCATGTTAACTCCAGGAGAGCAGCCGCCTCCCGGTGGCCTCCCCATCTACACAGGTTCTGGCAAAGGTATACTCATCTGGCAGATATGTGTGTGTATATGTGAGCATGTACTGTAGATGGTGTTTATATATACATGTTCAAGTTCGCTTTCTGCTCTGTTCTTCCTCTGCTCAGAGAATGGAGCTGACGGAGACTCAAATCATACATCTCCACTGAACGCAGAGAGAGAAGTGGTATGTGCTTGCATAATAACTTAGATATTCTTCTGTATATGTGTATACAGAATGTGGGCCAGTGGGCTTTTCTTAAAGCCAAAAGGAGATGGCAACCTGTGCAAAGAACTCAAAAGTATGTAGTCCCACGAAGTTTATGTGAGTCACCCACATATACTATCTTTGCAAAATCAAGACTGAAATTACTGTCTGTACATGAAAGATGACATAACAGCAGTGATGGTGAGGTAATAGTGAAGAGTCTGTCTTTAATGTTGATCAAAATGAAAAAAGAAATGTAATATTTGCATATGTAAATCAAAAAAAGAAAAAAGGAGACAGCTTTAGCATACAGACAATATGAAGTTTGGAGGCATGGTTAGTACAGACGGTGCAGAGCTAAGAGATGTTTCAATGTCTGTAGATTTACTGAAGGAAAACAGGGACCATCCCTTCAAAATGTGAAAGAAATGTTGGCTACTGGATGTTTGTTTATATAGAATTAACATGTTGTTTTAGACTTGTAGTTGTTCAATGTATCATTAATAATGTTGTAAACAACCAGTCGCAGATTCCCAGTGGTGTCTGTTATGTGGTGTGCTGTTAATACATGAAAATAGCCAATGTAAGAAAAGTGCCAGAAAATAATTTTAAAAAGGTATCACCGCTGGAAGATATAAAGTAAAGGATTTTATTTAGCTCTCAGTATAATGCGTTGGCTTCCTCCTGAAGCCAATGTGACCAATAGTTACAGTAAATACTACACGGTGAAGGTTATTACATTCAGCTTGTTTGCTGAGATGTCATGTTAGTGCCAACTCATTGTATGTTGTTTGGCTGACTCATAGCTTATTAAATAATAATTATTATTATGAATTACTACATTATTAGATTAATTTCTGTAAGGTGGCTAAAGCACGTGTATGTCTTCATCAGGAGATTCTGAACCACTGTTTTGACGACGTGGAGCGATTCATGGGACGGTTGCAGCAGGCAGCCGAGGCCCTGAGTATTCTCAACCAAAGGAAGAAGAAGAGAAGCAGGAAGAGCAAGAAGGGAGAGCAAGATGGTGAGAGGATAGGCACCATCCTGTTGGCTAACTACTGTGCTCATAGTTTCACAAGGGTGGGCAAGAGAAAAGCAGGCTACAGAAGAAGCAGTAGAAGCAGGAAACTGCAGACAAAGGCTGAACATTTGCACACTACTTTGCATGGAAGCGTGTCAACGGACAGGTTGCCAAAAAAAAAAAAAAAACATTACCAAAAACATTCAGGTAGTTAAGAAAATTCTTGCCAGCAGTACTAATCACAAGCAAGGAACATGACAAAGAAGTGGCTGAAGCTTGGGCCAAGTTACATTCCACATACGCTTCATTTAGTAGTTAATTGTGTTGAGTTGACAGTGTTCCTGGCATGAAGTCATCCAGTGGTAGGAAAAAGGTAAAAGTATTCATACCAGACTTTCTCAATAACTAGTTTGCATCTCATCTCTGAATAAATAAAGGGCTTTCTTTGTTGCACTGTGGGATGAAGATTAGGAGTGACAACAACAAGACCTTGATCTTTTCCCTGTATGGACAGCTGTGTCTTTATCACTGGACATTGCCAGTAGGTGTGAATGGGAGTATGTGTCTATCTGTGTTTGCCCTGTGTTGACCTGGCAACATAACCCAGGTTTCTGGCTAGTGTATCCTGGAATAGGTGTGACCCTAGATAATTTTAAAGGCAATGAATGTATGAACGCATTTATAACGAAATAGGACACAAGACTGTTATTAGTCATTGCAACTGGCTTTGTCTTGTAGGAGAGCGCTTGCTGCAACAAGCTAGAAGAAGCACTCCACACCTTTATAGAGTCATTATCAGTACTGGAATTTTACTGTAGAGTTTCTAGTATTCTTTACTATTAAATCTATTTTCTATTATTCTTTAACTTTCCCAAAAATAAAGGTATTGAAAAACTTGCTATTTACCTTAATTATTATAATTTAAAAACACTTAACAAACGATACTGACACTAAAGTACATCAAGTTAGAAAAATCAGTGCATGTGACAACAACAGTGATTGCAGTAGGCTAATAATGTGTCAGTGTTTCATGTGTATACTTTATTAAGTTGTTTTGGTTAGCTGTGATTATACTCTTGTGTGTGCAGATGATTTGTTGACCTTGAAAGCTCGCCCTCCATCAGAGGGAGACTTTGTGGACATCTTTCAGAAAATCAAGTACTCCCTCAGTCTGCTGGTGAGATTAGTCTAGTCATAAAATTAAGCACTAAATAGCTCTGGGGGATTGTTAGTACATTTTGATGAAACCCCTGGAAATTAAAAATGTAAATGAATCATTTGCTTGTTTTGTTAGGACCGTCTCAAGTCATCTATCTCACAGCCTGACGCTCCAGAACTGCTGCATCACATCTTTGTGCCTCTTAGACTAGTGAGTCATTAGTTTAATTTCATTTTGTGTTTTCTCTCTGTGTGACACTGACTATAGTGATCCTCTCTTTCACAGATGGTGAAAACCACTGGAGGTCCAGGTGTAGGTATGTCAGTGGTTAGTCCTGCTATGACCAGTGGTGCAGTTTCACTGCTCCAGGAGCATCTGACTGAGGAGGAAAAGGAACTCTGGATTTCATTAGGACCCAACTGGACTTCAACCTGGTCAGTGTGTTTATGTGTATGCGTGTGTAAAACTTTGTTTGAGAATGTGTTGATCTAACAAAACCCCTTACCCTCTTTTTTTTCCCAGTTCGTCATTTAATGTGTCTGTTCCTCCATATTCACCTGTCTTCCTGGATGGATGGCAGCCTCCGGCCTATGACTCATCTGGACACCCTTTGGAAGATCCCATCGAGTTGCAGCACAAACAGGATGCTCTCAGGGAAAGTATGGAGGCACAAACTCTACAAGACCAAACTCAACAAAGAGTAGAGACAGCTGATCAAGGCAGCGAGGAAGTGTAAGTCTGTAAACATTGTAAATTTCTACAGAACAAGATAGAATTACGTTTTATAGCTGGAGTGACAATGGGTGACAATGCCAGTTAAATTCCTAATGGATGAAATTAACAGTATATTGCTAGTAAAATGTTTCATTTTCACTTCTCTCATCAGAGATTAGTGATTACTGATATCCGACTCCACTTTGTTAAGTTGCTTACATTTGTTTTATATGTTGCATATCTTTTAAATGACATTTCCCTTTCAGAGATGGAAATGGGCTCCGACCAGAAGGTGAGAGACTTTACTGCTGCAGTTATGACTTTGTGGCTAGAAACAGCAGTGAACTCTCTGTACTACAAGGGGAAACACTGGAGGTAAATACCCATAATTAGAATTATAGGTGGAGACCCACTTGTAAAAGTAGATATACTAAACAAAAATATAAATGCAACACTTTTGTTTTTGATCCCATTTGTCATCCATTGAAATGGAAGATCTAAGACTTTTTCTAAGCACACAAAAGTCTTCTTTCTCTCTTGTTGTAGACAAATGTGTTTAAATCTGTGTTAGTGAGCACTCCTTGTTTGCCAAGATCATCCATCCACCTGACTGTTGTGGCATATCAAGAGACGTTTTCTAATAGTTTGTGCAGAAATTCTTTGATTGTATTGGATTGGATGTAGAAATTACATTGATAATGAAATGACCATTCATTTCATGGACAACAGCTCTGGTGGACGTTCAGCATGTCAAATGCACACTCCCTCAAAACGTGCAACATCTGTGGCATTGTGTTACGTGATAAAACTGCACATTTTAGAGTGGCCTTTTATTGTGACCAGCCCCAAGGCACACCTGTGCAATAATCTTGCTGTGTAATCAGCATCTTGATATGCCACACCTGTCAGGTGGATGGCTGTTCTTGGCAAAGAAGGAGTGCTCACTAACACAGATTTTACTTACATTTGGGAACTACATTTAAGAGAAATAAGCTCTCTCATGAAAAATTTGAGAAAAAACAAAAGTGTCGCGCTTATATTTTTGTTCAGTATATATTCATGGGAAATGTCATAAAACTCAACTGATTTGTGTGGCATCTTTCCTCAGGTAATTGAATCATCAAAGCGATGGTGGAAGTGCCGGAATCGCTTCGATCAGATAGGATTTGTTCCCTCTAACATCCTGGAGCCTCTCTCTGCTCTCAATAACACAGGGAGGGACAGTCCACTGGTACGCAGAGAGTCAAAGGTACAAGTACAGACACAACTACACGCACTGTATCTTTTAGTCTTATGCATCTGACAATTTTTAATTCGCTCCCATTTTCCCACCACAGAAGACCCCTCTTACCCCTCCCACAAACTACTTCTCATACGCTCCATCAAGCCCGATTGGGACCAGTCCCACTGCTACAAGCCCACCACTGCGACCTCAGAGCATGGTTTTACCATCTACAACAATGGGGGAAGACAGTGACCGCGGTAACATCATGTGTACAAACATAAAAAGGGCTTGTTTCTCAAATGAGTGCACTGTTTCTCATCTGTCACTTGAGTGCTATCATGGTCCTGTCTCCAGTGGACTGAGAGCTATTTGAAGATGCTCCTTTTAGCCTTTTTGCATCAGTGTCTAAGAGAAATAGGCTGAGTGCCATGTCGTCTTTGGCAGAATTTCCATTTCCTGTGTAGCACACTGATGTCGTCAATGCAACCAAAACAACAAAACTGCTGTATCAAAAAACATTTTGGTAAAAATGATCTGGTAACACACATCAGGTTGTTGTTTTTTGTTACGCTACAAAGGTTTTTTAAAATATAATTATAAGGTTACGCACCATTCATATTATTTCACAGACAAATACAGGGAAATCAGACTACTTTGTATTTTATTATTTAAATTGCCATGAAACTAAAAAATCAAAAAAAGCTGCATTTGTAAAACAACCCAGTGGATTGAGCACTAATTTTGAAGTAGAGAAATGATGACGATGCTTTGACTCATCGTATAAGAGGCTGTGTATGACATTGTGCTGATCTGCATGTGTATGCAAATGAAGTTTTGTGTGTGTGTGCAGTCCTGATAATGAATGATGAGCTTCTTCATCGGCTAGCAGAGAAAAGAGGCTCAGTCCGTCCGTTGGTGGTTCCCCGCACAGCTGACACTTCTGGTCCCCTGTACTACCACTCGCCACCTGCTGAGGTGGAGGCCTGGCTCACTGCCAAGGGCTTCAGTCCACAGTGAGTGTCCACTGCTGGAGATATCTCCAGTTCAGACTGTTTCCAAAAACATGATTCAGCACAAAGCTAATTCGAAGAACCTATTGGTTCATTTATAGCCACACTGTGCTTAAGGTCTTCTTGCTTAAGGAATATCACATCCAACATGTCCAACACAGGTTGTGTACTAAAATCAGTCAAATTTGTGCATTTGTATCACTAAAGGTTTTCTAAATCAAAATGATCCAGGGGTGTCATGGCCTCTACTGTAACAGGAAATTTAAATTGGATTTTATTGGTCCAGTGGAAGAACACTGCCTTGGCTTCAGTGAGTTGTATGGAGGTGCTTATTGGGCACTTAAGTACTGTTATGTTCAAAGTTATGTTCACATTTAAGTGCATTATACATACTGCTCATGTGCACAATAGCGCTCTCAAATGTCAAACATGACCTGCCCCCCCTCCTAACCAGTGTTTATGTATTGAACCTGTACTGTGAACTGAGCTGAGTTGGAATTGACCACAAACAGTGAGCTGAGAGGACATTTAGGAAACATGCTGGTAGTATTAAGTGGAAAAAAAAATTAACAAGTGAATCTCAGAAAAAAAGAATCTTACATTTGCTTTGGATTATTATTATTATCATTATTCCACTTTCCATTTTTTTTAACAATGAAAAACGAACATAAAAAACCATTGATTTTGTTGCTCCTTTCTCCTCCTCTAGGACAATTCAGAGTCTTGGCATTTTAACTGGAGCGCAGCTATTTTCCCTGAATAAGGAGGAGCTCCGTGCAGTGTCACCAGAGGAAGGTGCAAGAGTTTACAGCCAGATAATGGTGCAGAAGGCTCTTCTCGAGGTTTGTCCACTGTTAATGTCCTCTGTGTGTGTGTGTGTGTGTGGGGTTATGCTTGGGTCCATGTGTCCTGACTCCTGAGTCAGTTGTTTGCTCAGCCTTGGATTATGCACAGACTTACGTCATTTTAGCACATTGTCATTGACCTACATTGACTAAAGACTATTTACCTTTCAATTTGTAAATTCAACATGCATAATAGCTACTGGATACCTTATAGGTCAATGGTCGCAGTGAGTCTATTTCTAGTTATTATCAGCCTTTGTGTTCTTGCTGTGACATTAAAGGGATTTCACATACAGGCTGTCTTTAATGTGACCTTTATTGTACAGACTTTGGTTAAAAATAGGACCACAGAACTACAGTTTAAGTGCATATGTCAGCTTATTTTGAGTTCGACAAAGAGGCAAAGTTTCCGCGATATTTTGCTCTTAACTAATCTTGTGTTCTCCTCAGGATGTGCACAAAGCCACAGAATTAGAGACGGTGATGGAGAAGCAAAAGCTGAAGATTGGCTTGAAGTCAGAGAGTGATGTATTCTGACTGAGCTTTCCACATCCACTAATACAGATGTGGCATCAAAGGTGAATGGTCATGCATGTAGTGTTGCTTACACAGCTGGGGCCACAGAGGGATGCTTCAGGTGGAATCTAATTTTTTGATCATACATGTTGTATCTTGTCTGTGCTACAGATTCATCAGCAAAAGCAAACTGTGTTAAAAGACTCTCTAAATAATACTCTTATGTAAACCTCGCCAGAGTTTACTAAAGTTATTCCTTGCATTTATTTTCATCATATTTTTTACAATTTAAATATTTCTGTCATCCTTTATTTAGGCAATATTTGAAACATGACAATAAACACTAATGCCATACAATAAACAAAATAACATAATAATTATAAGTCTAATGTATTATTGTTGTAAAGCAAATACTATAACAATGGACTGAAATAGCTTTTCAGAGCTACAGTATAAAACCCATGAAATGTGCATTATGATAAAAATATTTATCTACACAGAACAGTCAGCTGTCTGATTGATTGAGACTTTTTATTGCTTGCATGTCTACCTGTATTAAGACAGTGTTGCTTGTTGCAGCCAGATGCTGTTATAGACCAAATACACATTAAACTGATGTCATAAATATACAATCTTAGTCCTGACTTTTTCTGAGATTAAAATGTTGTAAGATGTTGCATTTTTCATTATGATTGCAGCTGTGGTTCATATCATAATATAATGCACGACATGGAAACATAAGGGATATATTGCTGTGAATGTATCAGCTTCAATACAGCAGACTAGTTTTATGATTAAAGGAGTTATTTGTAAGATTTGCTATTGCTACATTGCCAACATTAGCATTAACAGCTGTTTACTTACTAGTCCTGTCAAGAGCTGCAGCTATTGTTTCATTTACAAGACAAAAGGTTATAACACGCCCTCCGAGCAGCACTATATTTTCAGGACAGACTGGACGCTACAGTGATTCGGTATCAGAAAGTGACGAAAGGGCCAAGATGGAGCTAGCTAGTTAGCATGCTAACTTCAGCAGAAGAAATGAAGTGACAGAAATGGTAGCAAAACAACAGTTTACATTGGTGTTGCCTTCCACCGCTGGAGACAGCTTTCAGTGAGTAAAGGAATGACGTTTGATGCTGAACTTTTTTTCTAGACTGGAAAGCTGTTAATACTAATGTTGGCTATACAGCCATAGCAAACCTGACAAATAGCTCCTTTAAAACATACAATTTCAAAACAAAAAGTTATGTGAAGAATTCTACATTAGTTATATCATAATTGATACTGAGTGAAAAATAAAGACATTGTTTCAGCTGTATAATCAAAAAAAACAAAACAAGTGACACTGAAAATGTCAACAAACATAAAAACCAGAATTAGTTCTGTGTTGACATGGTAGCAGGTGGAGGTAAATCATCACCATGCAGAGCTGTGTAGTGCACGGCAACATATTACTTTAGTAAATTTCCACCAGTTACCTTCACCTGAGGTCAAATGTTTGAGTGTAAACATTGATTATTATTAGAAGAATTATTCACATTTCAGACAATTCCTGACATTGTTTTAAACTTTCCTCTAAAATGTTCACCCTCGTATGTAATTTCTTCTGCTCCACAGTGGAGTTTTAAGGAGAGATAGGAGGATTACTCAATGATTTTACTAACACAAATTTACTTGATTAAACTTTACTATATAGACCATGACCTATTTAGATTTCTGTTCACTATGATTTGGGGATAAAAGACGCAGAGTCTAATAAAAACAAGCACACCACATTTTAACCATTGGTCGGAAAGACTATTGCATTTCAGGTGACTGTGGGATACATTCTGATGTTAAACCTGCTTTGAGCCTCATGCACTTCAAATCTTTCAGATGAAAATCAGGTACTGAAAAATCGAACTGCTATAGATTTATATGCATAGTTGCTAACATAGCTTGAATTATAAAAAAAATAAAAAATAAGAAATCAGTCACATTTATTTCAACAAAAATCATTGTGACTATAAGTACACTTACTGAGGTATATTTTTCAGTAGGAACACTGAACATGACCCCTGTTTTTCAATCACTGTAATCACACTGACAGAAGAGACACACCTTTGAGCAGCAGGATGGAGACAGTAAAACTGATTCTCACTGCATTCAACTCTCAGCGTCTTCACACTTCAGAGGTGCTGGTCTGGTCACAGCAGTCCCAGTTCAGGAGCTCTTTTCCCTGGAACCACAGCTGGATCTCCCTTTGAGCCCCCTCCAGTGAATCACTGGCATGGACCACATTCCTTTAAATGACCAGCACACATCATTATTTTACCTCAAAGACCGAAACAAAAAAAAAACATAAAACACAAGCAACAGATTCACAAGATGCAATATCTGGAAAGTAGCGGTCTCATAAGATTTTTGTTCAATTCTGAAATGTTTGGTAAATGTAATGAGATTAAATTACACCAGGTTACCTGCTGACATGAATGCTGAAATCTCCTCTGACTGTGCCTGCCTGAGCCACAGCTGGGTTAGTATGTCCAACCATGGTACGTGATGTCTGAACAACATTGTGCCCTTCCCACACCTAAACAAAAATAAACAAACACACATACAGTTATTCAAGACTTGCGACAGGTTTACATCTGAAATACTGTGTACGGAGAATGAATGATGTTCTAGCAATCATTTGCTAAAACATAACTTTCATATCTGCCAACCTAAAGCAAAAGTAGAAATTATTCGAGATAGATGTAGAAATGATGCACTCAGTTCAGGACTATCCCAGTGAGAGGAGTCCTCACCATGACAACCACGGGTCCTGAGGTCATGTAATGTAGCAGACTGGGGTAGAATGGCTTTGTCCTCAGTTCACAGTAGTGCTGAGACAGGAGATCCTCAGACACCTTCACAATAGAGACAGCTATAGTTTAAAACAGTTAAACAAACAGAGATGTTGCACATTACATAAACATCATCAAACATATTCACTTCAGACTTTTATACCTGCAGCATTTTCAGGCCAACCATCTTAAAGCCCCGCCGCTCAAACCGCTGGATTATTTGTCCAACAAGACGACGTTGAACTCCATCTGGCTTCACAGCGATGAGAGTCCGCTCCGTGACATTTGGAAGACCTGGTGCGACAGACGGAACAGAACAGCAACTGATGTTGACCATCACCCTCACATAGTCTCCTGCCAATGTTTGTAATCTACAGGGGTCAGGGCTAATATTGACTCACATTACTGCAGAGAAAAAGACCTCTGATACACACACACTCACATACATACATACATACACACGGGTTTGCATTTAAAACACAGATGAACTACACTCTGTAAACAGGAGGATGAATCGGACACATCAGATATTTTATGAATTCAGATTAGTTGCAATTGCGCACAGAGCAGCAGCAGCAGCAACACCGCGCACGAGCTAATGAATGACTGCACGCGATCAATTAAATACACGTGACCTGCCACCAGAGGAATCAGTCCAATGACATTTCAGTGTAACACTCTCCATGCCAGAGCGCGCACAGGTTTTGGTCCAGTTACGCACATCTCAGGTCACTGTTTCCCCATCATCGCTGTTACCTTCATCATCATCATCATTATCATCATCATCACTATCTTCTGTCCCTCTAACCTAGTTCCAGTTCATGACCCCATGAGTTTGGCAAACGAATTTGTTTTCGCAAATGGCCCGGTTAAGTTAACAGCAAATAAACTTTGCGCCTAGGAGGTGAAGTCTCTTGGGATCGGTGTCAATAATCTTAAACAGTAATAGATTATTTAAATACAAGTTCTTATATGTTTGTGTCATCATCACATGATCAAAACAGAGAGATTTGTTTGTTTATCGGTGAGTCAAACAATAAGTTCCGGAAGAGTGCCATTTAGTCCTTTCACTTGTTTGCGTACCTTAAAGACAAGAAAAAGTCATACAACTTCAGTGCCTCAAAGACTAGAAGAAATGTACATAAGCAAAGTCGATGACTTCACTTACTATTTGATACAAAGTCAGTCACTTACTCGATCTGCTCCTGTGTCCAGCAGCTCTGCGTCCATCCAGCAGCGCAGTGGGAAACCCAGAAACCAGACTTTTAGCGGTTTCGTGATTTCTTGAGTAAAACGGTTGGATAATCCTCTTAAAAATGCACCTCTGCAACAGGATCATGTTTTGAGGTGTGTTCTGTCAGCCTGAAGAGAGAGAAGTCAACCCTCCTCAATCAAAACTCACGAGTCATGCCCCTGTCTGTCACTCACACTGAAACTTATTTAACTCCAGTGATGCCAGACTATGATGCGGGTTCTCTTAGCTCTGCTAAAACGTTCAGCGTAAACGGACAATTCAAGTGTCTGTCTGATTCCAACTTTGGACTTGACCTTTAAGCTGAATGTCAACCACTTAAAAACTGACCATAATCATGGCACAAGAATATTAAAGGGATATTAAAGGCATTTTTATGAAGTTGGTAGATCTGTAAGAGATAAAAACCAACAAACAAAAAAGGGTCAAAGTTTCCTAACTTGTAGTCCCTTTAGAGTCTCTTTGTTTTTTTCTGTTTTTTTAAGCCCTAAAACTCCACACCAAGTTTGTAAAGTAGATTAGGGTTATTGTCTCAGACTTGACACCCACACAAAACATTATACAACTGTTTAGAAGGGTCTCCCATTATGAATACATGTGTCTTGACGTATACAAATTGGTGGATTTCCTTTTAAATAAAACCACATGAATATGACAGTCTTGGTGATTTCAAGACATTTAAGATCGTTTTCACTCAGCCTCGAATGGAACTCTAACCTCTTACAATGAAAATGTATTTTTACATTAAAGATAGAACTGGTGTATATTTAGCATCAGGATTAGCTTTTGAGCCAGAGAATAAGCTAATGAAATCAAGAGTCCAAAGGTAAGGTTAATGAGTTCTGTTCCCCTGTAGATTGTACTGAGTCACACAAACTTCCAGTCCGTCAGTCTGTTTTCTAATAACCAGGAATTGTAAAGCTAACATCATGACTGGAGCAAAATGTGCTTTCAATATTTAAAACAGCAGCTGAGAAAAGGTTTGGAAATGCGTAAACATCTTAATATCTAAAGTCCTGGATAGATAGGCAGCACCACAACACTAACACTAAAGTTAGAGGTTAGTGAAGTTGCTTCATTACTCTGCTGTAACTTCTGTGTCGTGCCCTCACACGACATTGGTGCATGTGATGTGTCACATGCTACAAATCAAAACCTCTGTCTGTTGATGGTTCATATCTTTAGCCATTTTCAAAATCAAAATCTGCACAGCCTTATCCATTAGCTTTGTAAAGATCCAAACGGACTATTGATACATGTGCTCTACAAAATGAAAGTTTGAAAAAAACTATTCAGCAGTTTAAGTAGATGAATTTAAGCTAAAAGGGATTTTAAAAAGATGCCATTGGGCAGTCTAAAGCAAAAAAGTAAAAACATACCAAAAGGTTTCAAATTTCTTGACACAACCATTATTTTCACAAACAATATTGTAACACTGCAAGAGCACATAGACCAATAAAATCATGAATTAACCAATACCTGAGATTTACTAAAAAAGCACTTTATTTAATCAAGCAGGTTTTCTCTTTTTCAGAATGGAATGATATGAAAGTTGAGAGTCCGTCTCCTTTGGAGATGAAAAAAATTGAAGGCAAAATGAATAAAAGCAGACATTTTAAAAACTCAAAATGAGTTGAAAGTGCTCAGTCCCAGCCTAGCTTTGTTGCAGAGGCGTGGGAAAGAAGGCCTGGCTCAGACTGCTCCAGGTCTGGGCGAAAGCCAACTGCAGACCAGGTTTACATTTCTTGCCATATTATCATTGGCAATACATAAGGAGGGCACTGCTTTTTAAAAAAAATAATAATGCGCCAACCTTCTACAGTAGAAATCAAAGAAAAACATCAGCAGCATCCTCAACCTCCAATTACTCAACCATACAAATGTGTGTTGTCCCTTCCCATCACTTTGAACAGGTGGAGCGAAGCTGAGTTGGAGAGGGAGTGTTGGGCAAAGTGGTCAGCACAGGCAATCCTTGAAGATCATAGTTGATGTGTGGAGTGGTTCAAGCAGTCATTGTGCTATAGCTTGATAGTGCCAGTGGGTAGGCTACTATTACACAGTCTGTAGTAGCGAAGGTCATTAACCAGCCGCTGCACACTTTGAGTGAACGAAGGCAGGTCCTTGAAAAAGAAGAGAAAAAGTGAAAATGAATGATATATTGATAAATGATATTAATTTATAGAGGAAACATTGGCTGATAGTGTTTAGGATGCAGATGAGGCATAAACAACTTTCAACCAAACAGGCACTGATGCTAAAGGTGACACTGAAACAGTTATAGATGTTTCCATAATAAAAGCTACACAGGAGTAGTTACAATCAGTATGTTACCATCAACTAATGGTTTACAGATTGAAACCCTGCAGACCGACGCTGGAGTTTGTGAGGTCTAATGAGGCAAGTGAAAACCCCTGTGGGTGGACCATGAGCTTTAGATTACTGCTCACTTATTGTGCTGCAAAAGTTTAACAAAATGCAAGGGAAATGAGCAACAGCTCATTTGGTAATTCACTTTGTCTGGACTGGTAGTAACTAGTGAATACAGGGAGGAGACTGCAACAACATGCTTTTATTGATATAGGGTATCTGTAATTTCTGCCACCACTTGAACACAGTGGAAGTGAATGGAATATAATTGCTCAACAATCTTGCAGAATTGAACAATAAATATTGGACAAGTTGGATAAAAAAACACCAAACTATCAGCATGGCCACTACAGGTTAAGCTTAGTTATTAGGACCAGTGTGTAGGATTTAGTGGCATCTAGTGGTGAGATTGCAGACTACAACCAACTGAGTACCCCTTAGAGAATGTCACAAAATTTAATTCTTACCTGTTCAAGCTTGAAGTTGCGTGCAAGAACAGCTCGTTGGCTGGTGTCAACACCCTGGCAACCATTGAGGAACTCTGGCATGAAGGCCGAGTAGAAGGCATCAAAGTCGACAGAGGCCATGTTGTAAATAGCAAGGGTGATTTCCTCCTGAAGGAGGTCGTGGCTTTTGTGGAGAAGGACCTGCAGCAGCACGTTGATGAAGTGGAAGAGCATCGAGGTCCGGAAAAGCTTCTGATGCACAATAAAAAATGCAGAATTACAGCCTTGCAGTTGTATGCCTCCACCAACCAATCAAGTTGCAGGAAATATGGTCACAATTTGGATATAAAATGTCATATCTTCATCATTTTATCCTATAAGACATTTATGTCAAATTGGGTCAAAATTAGCGTAAAAGAAAACGACTAAAGAAACTAATTTTACAGTTAATGTTTTTATAACTAATAGAGGTAAATGCAAAACTTCATAAAAAGCAGAATTATAAAAGAGCAAAAAACTGCAGCTGTGGTTACAGTCATTGCCTACCCATGTGACAAGTTGACAGGTTTGAACTGCTTTTGTTGTTGGAAGTGATTCAATAAAACTGCACCATGATACACTACACATGTAAATACAAACATACTAATATAAAAGCTCAACTTACTCTGTGATACAACTTGTGCTTGCTGTTGAGTGACTCCAAATAGGAGAGATTCTGCTTGAAGATGTGGATGTCAGGCTGCAGGAAGGACTGTCCAAAAGCCTGGAAAATACATTTCAGCAGAAGTCAGGAAATGAAATGTAACTAGATTCAACAATAACTTTATCCACTAACTGTGTGACGAAAAGCTAATTTCATCAATTAAGGTAACTGCTTATTTTGGGAACACATTGCAGTTGGATTTTGTGTTCTGTATGTTCCCTCAGCACCATCAAATCAAACAAAGAGCACAGCCGAGAGGTATCAGTCCATCGAAAAGGTATATGATGATAACTGTAGCCATGTGCAAACACCCACCTGCATGGCAGCTGTGAACTGGGCTTCATTTTCCATGGTATCTTCAGCAGCTCCTCTTTGGACACTTGTTAAGACTGAAGTTTTAAAGAAGTACCTCCAGTTTTGGTGAAGTATTTGGTATAGCAACTCAAACATCTCTGCCTTGACATCTGGGGAAGACCGCTATCAAAGACAAGCATATATACCATCATAAATTATATCATTAAGTACCTGACACTTTTTATTTTCGGAATATTCAAATGAACAAATTTGTGTCATGTTTCTACTGACCAACTATTCATTTGTTTATTTTTCTGAAACACTGTCAGGTAAATGTCCTTATTTAAGTGTAGGTACTTATTTGTAAGATTTCCTACATGATAAGTGATGCCACATGCAAATTTTAGGTGCTAGCAGGCTAACCAATCCAGATGCAAAAAAAAAACAAAAAACAAACAAACAAAAAAAACTGGATAAGTGACCACCAACTGACCTCTGCCACCACCGGGTAAACCTGCTCCATGCACAGAGAGAGGATGCTGGGTAGGAAGGGCTTGAAAGCTTGACCAGGCTCTTGCACCACCACCTGAAGGATTTTCAGGAACTTCTGTACCACTCTACACCCTGCACTGCCTTCTTGCAAAATACTGGCTGCCAGCTGTTCCCTGGAGCACATATAAGTGACATTACATGAATTAGCATTAAGAGCGATAGCAACAATCACTGTATGCCCCATGCATTTAAATCTTAAGACAAGAAGTAATACTACAGTGACTACAACTAATAAAAGTAGCTATTGTTTATAAGAATTGTGGAGAAAATTTTTTTTACCTGGTGAACATGCTAAGGAAAGTGTGGATGATCTGTCCTGTGAAGGCAACACCCATCTGGACCCGCAATGCCTGAAACAGTGTCAAGAAGAAGGCCAGCATCTCATCCGTCACATCTAGGAAAGAGAGGTGACAATTAACAAAGCTGGCCAGTCAGATGACCTTTTGTGTTGTAGTTTGTTGAGGTCTTCAGAATTTATTTTCCATTAATTGTTATCAATTATTATTACATGTATTTTGTTACAAAAGCTATGGAATATTTCTATACAGACAGAGTATAGGAGACGGATAGAGACATAGGACTTTCCAAAGTAAGGTTTCACAGGGATGTGCATTGCTGCTTGCTGTACAGATGAAAAAACAAGTCTATACGAAAGGAAATAGACCAACAGTTTATAGGAAATAAAGACACAAACAGTAACTGAAACAGGTTAGCACAAGATGTTTGCACATTACTGCAAATAGATGCTGGTTCCTCAACTTTGTAATTTTGTCCACTGGTCTGTTGCTACATGCACTGTTATCATCATATGCATACATCGGTAGGAGGCAGAGAGACA